CTTCCTTAGGACATGACAGTGTGAGACTGTGGGGGAGTGAATATTGGTTGACTGGGTGTGTTTATGTAAGTGGGTGTGTGTAAGCATCAAGTTCTATGAATGTATTGTATGCAAGGATGTGGGTGTAATGGTATGAAAATTATTATAGTCAAATTTTGTGAGAATGTGAGCACAATTGTAAAGGAAGTATATGGGTTGTGGATTATATGTGAATATGCGAGTGTAGGGGTGATATATATGAGACAGAGACTGACCATGGGCTGATATGGAGAGAGGGATGGTGGAGAGATCTGTAAAATAGGCACCACAAGTAGGAAGACCCTAAACCGCATCATCCTCCCCCTTTCCTAACCTATGGGGCCCTCTGGAATGATCTACAACTGATTCAGACGTATTGATTTGGGACAATCTGTTCACTGTTCCCCCCACAAAAAGCTGGAGACCCAGTTTTATGCTCCTCAGCTGTGGTGTCAGGGACACCTTCTAAATTTACACTTGAAGTCCCACCATTAGCAAACCCAGTTAAATCAGGGTTTTAACTACTCTCTCTCCCCCTACTCTCTCCCTAACAACCTTGGCCAGGAGACTTCGAGAAGAGTGGCAAGACTGACAATGGATGCACATCAGACCTCATCCCTGCACTGAAGGGGCAGAGAAAGATTTGGTAGAGAAATTTTCATGTAGGACTTCAGTTTATGAGATAGTGATTGTATACAGAACACATACAGATACACAACCACATTTGTATAGAAGGTTTACTTAAACCTTCTTAATCTCACACACACACACACATACAAACTAGTCTGAAGAATTAGGGGTTTTGTTGTTGTTTTGCCCTTGAAGAAAGAGCCCTTTTATTTAAGCAAATGGTAAAGGACTGATAATACCCTCTTATGGTAAGAATATAGAGTGGTACAACCTTTTGAGAAGGTAGTTTGACAATGTGTACCCAAATGTAAAATGTGTATTTTTTCGATCCAATACTTCCATTTCTAAGAACTTGCCCTAAGGGGATAATCGTACAAATGTGAAAAAATCTGTCCACAAATATATTCATCTCAGTGTGTTTAAAACAGTGCAAAACTAGAAATATCCTAAATGTGTATCAACAGAAGACTGACTCAATACATCATACAGTGGAATATACTACAGCTATTACAACAATCACATAGTTCTATATTCATTGAAACAGAATGGCATCTATCATATATTTTTATGTAAGAGAAGATTACAGAACAGAACATAGAATTTGATCCTGTTTGTGTCATATTATGCACCTGTGTCTATGTTTATTTACAGGCAGAAAGAGTTGTCTGGTGAATGGTCATTAAAATAGCAACTGGGGTTTTCTGACTTATGTGGGCATTATTTTTGTCTTTCCTCTCTGTATTTTCTGTATAGGAAGGAAAGGTGAAAGAAGAAAAAGAAAAAGATGTTCCCTATGTGCCTTCTGTTCACCTGTCTCTGCACTCAACACAGGGGGCATAGCCATGAGTGAGGTGCCAATCCTCTTAGGAACCACCCAGGATTAAACCTCCACATCAAAGGTGTTGGGGTCGACAATATAGCGTCAAATGTGCTATAACTTGATATAGCTTGACTATCATCAAATGTGCTGTATCTACAAACTGTGTCATCTTCCTCCCTCTGCCTGCTCCTTGCTGGATCCATGTTCATCTTTGAGAAGACAGTGAGAAGATGGGTATTCCCTGGAGAGTCCATGGGCTTGGCAGTAGGGGAAAGGAGATCCTTGGATAAGGCTGGAACCACTGTGGAGACACCCTCTGGGAAGGGAAGTCTCTGTCCTCAATGCCCCTTCCCATAATAAGAGATTGCCGAGTCTAACCTCAATCATTTTTTAACTTCCTCAGTCAAAATAACCCTCTTGAAAGTGCCTGAAATCATCCTTCCCTGGGGAGAAATTTCTTAGGGACTTGGGCCTGCAAATGATACTAGAGGCCAAGGATTTCACTGCTCCCATAGTAGTCTCATGTTGAGGATCTTCTGCTTGAACTCCTGCAGGGCAGGAGACTTGCTTCTGCCTGAGATAGGTGTTTTGGTTTCAGGCAGCTCTGATGATTAGAAAATTCTTTCCTGAAGAAATGAGGTAACCCAAATCTACCTCCTGGAAGGTGTTTATCCTCCATTCCCACTAAGGAGATGTTCTTCAAAGATGGTAGAAGGTAAAGTAGTGTCTGCTGAGAGTCCTGAGGTCAAAGGGAGATGTGAGCCAGGGTAGTGCAAGGAAAAGAGTGGGAACCAACTCAGTCACTGCCATTGTACCCCAGTTGTCATTATGCCAACATGCGGGTCAACATGTGGGCTCAGGGATTTCCATTGTGGGAAAAAAGCTACCCATATCCTAGCATTGTTGGGGAGACAGACATTATGACAGGGGAAGCAAATGGTGCCAAATTCCAATGATCACTTATTAAATTAAGGTGACATTGGGCTGGTCCCTCTTTGGACTGGTCACCTCTTGGTCTGGTGGCCCATATTAAAAAAACACAGAACTTTCTAATATTCATAAGATTTGAAAAATCTCTTTTAAATTTGAGATCCTATATGAAGGAAGGAGGAGTCCTTTATTTGACCTGATTTTACTCCATGAAAATAATATGCCAAGGATCAAGTTGAAGTCCCTTTCCTGGATATGTTCAATGGACATGATGCAATCTCCTCCCTTCTCCACCTCCCTGCCTTCCTCAAACACCACATACCAGAGGGTCACATTCTTCCTCATCTCTGCTCTTCTGCATCAATTGTGCCCTCTGCCTTGGTTTGTAAACTCCTCCTTTTGCCCAGACTCAGTTCTTGCTGAGCCCTGCTATACCTGCATTTGACCCCTTCCTGTTGGCCCAGGGCATCTTGGGCTACTCAGACCTGCATCTTGCTCATTGCTTTGTGGTTGATTGACTTGTAAGTCTTCCTCACTCATTAGAACTGTGGGTTCCCCGAGGGCAGGGTATACATCTTGTTTTTTGTACCCCCAGTGCCAACCCAATGCCTAACACCTAGTAAACAAGCAGAAAACAGTTGAATGAACAGATGCTGAGAAGGGGATCATGACCTTTATCAGAGACAAATTTAGCCTCTTTTCAAAATTGCTCTTGGAATGACAGAGAGAGGGGGGGAGGCATTCTACTTCATCTAGTGTCAATACTAGAATGGTTGTAGAGGGGGAGGCATTCTATTCATCTAGTGTCAATACTAGGATGGTTGTGTGGCCATGGGCAAGTTACTGGATTTCTTTGAGCCTTAGCTTACTTATCAGTCAGGTGGAGGGGGTACATAATAGTATTTTCCCCCCAAGAGTTGTTGTGACAAATCAAAGTAGCAGTTTAGTGTGAAGTGCCTAAAATAGCACCTGCCGGCAGAAGTGCTATTATCCTCCTTGTAATTGTCATTGTTTGCAGTGGTCATAGGGATTATTATTGTTACTATGTAGCAGACTATTTCTCTCCCTTGGAAAATTCTGCCCCTTCCTTCAAGGGCCCAGATCAAATGCCACCTCCTTTAAGAAACCTTCCCAAACACCTTCAGGAAGTCCTTGAATGTGCAGCACTTCCTATGTGTTTCTATTTCAGTCCTCATAGGGCATTGCCATGTTTGTAGAAATCTGTCCCCCTGCTTGATGGTGAATCCCAGGAACGCTAAGGTAGTCTTGGCTTTCCTTTGCCCTCAGCAGCTCTGACATATGGGAGAATTCAAAAGTGCTGGGTGAGTTGGAGGAACTTCCAAGTTCCCGAAAACACAAACACATACCGGAAACCAGTGAATATGCAGTATTAATGATGATTCAGGGCACTGAGTTGCCACTGCTCCACAGATTTGAGTTCCAAGGCCTAAAATATTTAATGCAGATAATGGTACAATCTGAATATATTTATAGAATTTTTTTTAAGAAGGGAGGGAAGAAACTCGGTCTGAGAGATGACATTACCACAAAGGAGGAAGCTGTTCCCCTTTGCTTTCTTCTCCTCCGCCCCACTTGGTCCCCTCACTGCCCGCCCAGCACAAGGCTCTGGGTTTTGTTCCTGCTCTGGTGCAGGTATGCTGTATGTTTTGAAGGGGCTGTCCTGAAGCACTCCCTCCACTACCAGACTAGCCCATAGGAGTTTATTTACGCCAAGTGAGCTTAACAGTGGCAAAATGAGGAGGGTTGGGAGAAATGCGTCCCAAACTCAGAGAGAGCTGTGGTTGAGGTCTTATTTTCCATGTACTGGTGAATCAGGTTTGTGGCCTTGCACACAGGTATTTCCTGTGGACACAGCAGGATGTTAATAATAACTAATGCACGATAATAATAATACTCCTCACCTGTACTGCATTTAATGACCTCTCGGATCAGGTTTACATGGCCTCACTGTTCCCACTAGTCTAGAGAGTGAGGTATGTGGGACAGATATTCCCATTTTACAAATTGGGAAACTGAGACCAAGAGGACTTGCAGAGAGCCACCCCACTACTTAGAAGCAGATCTGAGAGGTGAAGTCGGGGCCCTACAAATTCATGGTCATATTGACATTTGTGCTCCTGCAACTGTAGGTTTGTTGCAGGCGTACACCTGGGGGAGCTCTTTAGGACCTGGCAGCAGCCCTAAAAGGGTGGAGACCCAACTGTATCGAGTCTTACAATTAGTCCCTTTCTTGGGGGACCTCGGGCCCTGGGCGGGTTCCGCTGCGGGACGGCTGAGCGAGGGCCGAGGAGCCGGGGAGAAGGGCCACGCGGACCTGACGGGCGCCCGCGAGTGTGAGGAAGGCGCGAGCGGGGCCACCCACCCACTTTCTGGGCGGGAAGACTGAGGCTAGGGCGGCGGGCGGCCGCCCCCTGGTGGCGGCGGGGCGGGCGGACAGCGGGGCCCGGCCGGACGGTGGCGCGTCCTCACTCCCGGCCCGGCGGAGGCGCGTCGGCTCTCGTGGCGCCCGCTCCCCCCGCCGCCTCCCCCGCTCACTCCACTTTGGGGATAATTTAACATGTTTCACACTAACTTTCCCGTAATGGCCACGGAGCCTTTAGAAGTGCAGCCTCCCCGCTTTATCGGCGGCCGCGCTAATGGTTATCTCGCAGCCGTGCCCCCGGCGATCCTGTCAGGAGTAAATAGAAGCTGACACAGTCATTTGCTTAAATCTTCTCCACACTTTTGCCGCATTTCCCTCCAGAGGATACCCCTGAAACAACAATTATTTGAAATGTCACGCGTTTCTGCCCCTGGGCTACCAACAAATGAACATTAAATCTATTAACAGCAAAAAAAATTAAATGTTTACTTTTCCGCGAAGGTGTGAGGGGCCGGAGTCAGGCAGGGGCCGAGGCAGAGACAGGGACAGAAACCCGAGGCAGAGACCGAGAAACCGACAAACCCAGGCGTGCGAGGAGACAGGAGGCTGGAGAGAGACAGCAGGACAGACTGAAGTACAGAAAGACAGACTCGGAGCAGGCAACCGGGGACCCACGGAATGGCAGCGGGGAGCGACGTGGGGAGGAATGGCCCAAAACAGAGTAAGACAGAACAGAGATTGAGACCAAAAAAAAAAAGATCCCAGGAGAGTAGCAAGGAGGACCAAGAAGGATGCCCACAAAATGAGACATGAGAAAAAGCAGAAAGAAGCATTGCCGGCTCATAATGCTGCCACCCTCCCAGTTTAAACAACAAAATGAAAAGCAGAACAGGGAGCAGGTTGGCGGGTGGGGTGGGCTGCATTTCCCAGGGGAGTGCTGGAGTGAGCCAGGGTGTGTTCTGGGAACAGTACTCTCTTAGGCCTTACCCTGCAACCTGGCGTCCTTTGGGCCTTGCAAGCGCTGGCTTGGGCTTGCATTGAAGTGGGGGATGGCTCTGCCCTCCATGCCCCTCATTTGTCCAGCGGCTGAGGTGTCCAGCGGGTGAGGGTTTGTGTGAGAGGTCTGGAGTGCCTGCAGCTGGAGACTCAGGGGACAGCAGGTGTGGGATGAAGCAGATAGGCAAGTGTCTGGGTCCATGGCCTGGGGCCAATGGCCATCCTGGCTGCCCCTGTGACTCAGCATCCCAGTCTGTATAATGAGAAGCAGACCTTTGGACCTCCACTCCTCAGTCACCTGAGGGCCAGACTGTCCTGAGTACAGTGTCTCCGCTGCCCTCCCCTGGGCCTGTGTGACATCTGAGAGATGTCATACCTGGTACTGTGGAAGGATCTGGGGGTATATATGATCCTGTTTTTTGGTTCCCCAAGGTCACTGCCTCACCACGGGTGATGAGTTCACAGAGCACCCATGGTGGGGAGGAGCCCAAGGGAGGACCACTCGTTTCCCTACACCTCGAACCAGAATCAGGGCTCAGTGAGAGGGCAGTAAGAGGGTCAAGGGCCAGGCAGCCAGAAGGCCAGTGAGGAAGTTCTCCAACAGTTGGAGGTGTTAGTGGGGTTGAGGGAGGCGAGGGAGGTGGGGGTGTCTGAGGGGACAGTGTAAGCTCTTTTCACCTCCCAGCTCTCCCTTCCTCTTACATCTCCTGGCCCTCCATGGACTGTGTTCCTATGACATTTTGTTACAGCAAATGGGTTAAGTTTCATTTCAGTGCGAAGTGAGGGTTCTCATCCTGGGCCGACTCAGCATGGCCAGACGCCTCTGGATTCTGGTTTCACTGCTCTCCTGGGGACATGTGTCCAAGCTGAGACTGCACGCCAGGGCTCTTGGTTAGTGCGTAACTGGGTGTGAACACTAGCTCCATACACACACATCTGCCTGCACCAGTAACACATGCAAACACAGAAGTAAGGCTATGAATTTGCTCTCACACTACTGCTTTAAATGTTGACATTTTTAGCCCCATATGAATCCACCTTTGAGATACACATGCAGAGCACATTCATGTGGGTACACAGATGATCACCTTCCCTGTTCAAACGTAACCTTGCACACTCAGACATACATTCAAGGGCTCCATCCCCCTGCCCTTCACCCTGACAACACCCACCTCTACTCTTCTTACTCCAAAGGAGAATAGCAAAAGGGTACGTATGTCTGGGTCACAGAGCCTGTGTTCTTTGTCTGAATGTAAGGTTGTGTATGTGTGCCTATGTGTGGATGGCAAAGAAAATGTACATGTGTTTCTTTGCTTTGAACGTGGACATGTTTGCTGCGTACAAGGCTAGTGTGTATGTGTTTGTGTGTGTCTCTGGGAGTGTTGTGTGCCCCTGTGGTTGTGTGTGACTGAAAGTGTGTGGTGGGGGGGGTGTGGGGGGTGAGTGCTATTTAAATAAAAAAGAAAGGAAGTGAATCAGGGTCGTTTCCATTTTAATTGTAAAACAGATAAGCACTAAACACTTTGAAAAAGTAAATGACTTGAGAATAATTACTCTCTATTACCCAGCGTCCCAGGGGGGCAGTTGGAGGAGCCCAGATGGCTACAAAAATGGGATTTAGCAGAAAATTGAAGACATTATTCACCGTAACACATTATCAATTACCTTCATATCAATTACAATAACCTTACATTAGCGAGGGGCCCCGAGACCCTCAAGCCCTGAGACTGTGGAATCACTGCAGCCCCGTGGGGGAGGGGTTGGGAGGGGGGTAAGAGGATGGGAGGGGACTGGGAGGGTCTTGCTTCCATCTCTCTCAGAGATGCTTCTGGCTTAGGCCCTCACACCCCATTCCAGGTCTCTACTCCTCAAATTTTTTCCTGGTCCCAGCACTCTCGGCTGGGGGTTGAATGGAAGATAATGAGTGGGAGCAGGTAGCGAGCTGAAGAGTGAAGGATTGAGAAGCTGATGGAGATCTACAGAGGCCAAGAAGTGCAGGTGATAAGAGGCTGAGAAGTGAGGGAAATAAAGGGATGGGGGTGGCCTAAATAGGCCCGAGAAATCTAAGAGGCTGAGATTGAAAATCTGAAGGGGTAAGAGGGCTAAGATGCTGAAGAGTCACCTTCTAGAAATTTTGCTTTTATTCTGTGGTCACTTCCTAATCCATCCACCTCTCTTAGACTTAGGGCTTTCCTAGGCTTTCCCTTCTCCCATCTCTCTCTCCCTACCCACTGCAGTTTCTACTGGTTCTTTCCTCCCACCCCAAAGTCTCTTAGATGGAGTAGAATGGGAGGTGGGTGTAGGGGGCCTCTTGAGAATGAGTTGCACAAGACATTTTAAACTGAAAGTCATGAGTCTTAGTCCCCTGCAGTAGGAAGCACAGAAGTGAGATTAATGGAAGAACTTCCTAGAGTAAGACTCTGAGACTGAACCATGTGTCTCCACTGTGACCTGGGAACCAGTCAGTGCGGAAAGGAGCCAGAAGACCCTGCAAGGGCAGGCTCTGAGATAGAGTTAGAATGAAGAGTGCAGCCCTGACTTCTCCTTTCTCTCCTTACTGGCACACACAGCACCCTTCACTGACTTGGGGGGAACCAGCCAAGCCAGTCTGGCCCAGTATGGTAGCCACGCGCCACATGTGGTCACTGAGTGCTTGAAACATGGCTATTCCTGATGGAGATGTGCTGCAAACAAAACATACACACTGATTTTTAAAGAGTTAGTATTGATAAAAAAGGTAAAATGTCTCATTTTCACTTTAAAAATATTGGCTACATGCTAAGGTGGTCTTATTTGAGCTATATTTTAAATATTTATTTAAATTGTAACTAAATATTAATTTAAAACTTAATAAAATGAAATGAATTAATTTCATCTGTTTCCTTTAATGTTTTTTAAAATATAGCCACTAGAAAAATTTAAATTGTGTATGTGGCCCACACACATTTAATGATATTTCTGTTGGACGGTGTTGAGCTAAATTTCCTGGGAAGGAAAGGGGTTTGGGAGGGGAGCAATTCTGGGGGTCTCTCCCTGGGATTCACTTCAAAAGGACCTTCTTTTTTCTAGAGGACAGGGCCCCCTAAGGAGCAGAACTTCTGAGATGAATCAGGGCAGGAATCTTTTCCTTTTCCTCTCTGAAACCTAACCCCCTAAATCAGCCATTTGGTTCAGGATTCCCAAGGAAACAGAAACCCATGTAGTCACAAATTCCTAAGTCCAGTTCATCCCTTCTCAATGACAATCCTCAACATGTACACACATATGTTCTGCGCTCACGTGCTCATTTGTGCATTAACACGTTCTCCCACAGGGCATGCATATGTCCATCTCTCTCACAAGTGCACACACATTCACACGGCTGTGCACGTGTTCTCACACTTTCTGCCATGTGACAGCTTCATGTGGACACACATGCATTCACACACTGCATCCTTGTAGATGTGTGCATCCCACTTCACACACATAGCAGGGCCAGGAGGGCAGGCTCAGGCAGAGTTGTCAGCTTGATTCATGGTGTGTGTGTGTGTCCAGGGGAGTGAGAGCTAATAGTGCCCCCCTCCCTCAGGCTGGGCCCAGAGGACTAATTGCCAGTAATGAGCTAAAAGGAGCTCAGAGCTGGCCTCAGGCACCGGATGAAGATGTTTCCAGAGACCAGCCAGAAGCTGTCCTGCTGTTTTGTTGATAGAAAATCCTTCTCCCCCAGCGTCCCCTCTCTGTCTCTGTCTCCCCTCCTGTGGCTCCCTCTGGTTCCCACATCCTCTGAGAGGTCCAGGCATGCCCCAACCCTGATTCTCCCATTAGTCTCTCTGCCTCCTCCCAAAGGTCCTACCCCATCACAGCATGTGCCCTCTTCTCTCTCCTCCCTGATAGGGGCCTCCCAAGGTACCCACTGAACAGGAGACAGATTTCCAGAGGCTCCAAAGGTCAGATCTAGGGCTAATGGGAAAGGTTGCAAGGATGCTCATTGTAACTGGACCTGAGGAAAACCTTTCTGGTAATGAGATCTGCCCAATAATGGAAGAGGACCATGCTGAGCTCCCCATTGCTGAAGTACTCAACAGCACTCACTGAGGATGCTGTAAAGAATACAATCCACAGGAAGGGAAGTTGCACAGAATGACCCATGAGGCCTCTTCCTGGGATTATTATTATAATTACTTATAAATTATTAATACAATTATTCACCAGTATTAATTATTATAGCCACCATAGGTCAAGTGCCTATAAAATGCAGGTACTTTACATTTTTAGCTGTCTCCATTCATCCTCACAAACATCTACCTGTAAAGTAGACATTATTATCCTCATTTTGCAGATGAATAAACTGAGGCTCAGAGAAGTCAAAGCAGGTGCCAGGGCCACATGGCCAGTCAGTTACAGAGCAAGGATTTGAATCAAGTGTGTCTTATCTTCATACTCATACAATTTCCACTAAAACTCTTTCATTCATTCTCTCAACAAACTTTCATTCATCAAATAGAGAACCTCTGATTTAGCAAGTAAAGACTGAAAGGGACCAGAGTCTTTAAACTTAAAGGAATTTGGGGTTGGTGGGAACCAATGCCTCAGTTTAGAAACAGAAAAAGAAAAATCCTCAACAGATTCCCTCCGCCATCCCCTAAGTGGCTATATGTGCCTGGTGTGGGCAGGCATATCTCTGTGTATATGAAACCACCTGGGAACACACAAAGAACCAGCAGCCATAGGGGTCTTGGAGAGAAC